CAACCAACCTATATATGAATAGTTTTTTGGGGGGGGTGGTTGCAACTCACCAAATCTATTCAATTAGGAGTCTACTACAAAACAGGACATTATTTCAAAGAGACTGTGCAGAAAATGCCCAAACAAAAATGTAGTGATGGTTCTGTTCCAGGTTTGTTCAGTAACCTCCCTCACTCTCTACTAGTCACCTGTTATGGATTACAGTTTCTTCTCACCAGTGGTATATGCTTTATTAAATTTGCTGACGATATTTACCGTACCGACGCAGTTGTGTCATTTAAGTCATTTAAGACAGCTACACTTCACACTTTAGGTTGTTTTATTAAGTGTTACTCTCCTCCTGGCTCGTGCTTTTTGCATGAGACTGCAGACCAAATCTATTCAATTAGGAGTCTACTACAAAACAGGACATTATTTCAAAGTGACTGTGCAGAAAATGCCCAAACAAAAATGTAGTGATGGTTCAGTTCCAGGTTTGTTCAGTAACCTCCCTCACTCGCCACCTGTTATGGATTACAGTTTCTTCTCACCAGTGGTGGTCTATGCTTTATTGAATTTGCTGACGATGTTTACCGAAGTGACGCAGTTGTGTCATTTAAGTCATTTAAGACAGCTACACTTCACACTTTAGGTTGTTTTATTAAGTGTTACTCTCCTCCTGGCTCGTGCTTTTTACATGAGACTGCAGAAAAACTACGTTAGAAAAAAAAACATTGCAAAATGCCGCTGTGTAGCGAATATACAGTACCACAAAAAAAAAATCCACCATGCTCTGAACCTGCAAAAGGTGAATGGTGATATAGCAAGACCGGTGTGTGTGTGTGTGTGTGTGTGTGTGTGTGTGTGTGTGTGTGTGTGTGTGTGTTTTAAGAATACTCAGAATTCAATATGTAACTGTGGCTAGAAAGCAAAGTACTCGCCACCTGTTATGGATTACAGTTTCTTCTCACCAGTGGTGGTCTATGCTTTATTGAATTTGCTGACGATGTTTACCGAAGTGTCACCCAAAATCATGGGTGCGGTCAGTAAAAAGGTTGCTCGATCAATGCCGTCAGCCTCAAAATATCAGCTATCCTTTTGCTTCCCTCTTTCTGCTTCTGCCTTGATAAACTGGTTCATATTGTTGTGGGTCTATGTGTGTGTGTGTGTGTGTGTGTGTGCGTGTTTTGAGAATTCAATATGTAACTGTAGCTAGAAAACAAAGCAGGGAAAGTCTCTGTCACCCAAAATCATGGGTGCGGTCAGTAAAAAGGTCGCTCGATCAATGCCGTCAGCCTCAAAATACCAACTATCCTTTTGCTTGCCTCTTTCTGCTTCTGCCTTGATAAACTGGTTCATATTGTTGTGGTTCTATGAAAAATGCCAGCGCTCCACCTGTTGGCCTTTGTTCTTCAGGCAGTCGGTCCAGTGGCGATGAGCGTCGCCCAGGGAGTGAGCACCCAGACACACGCCGCCTAGACGGGAAGCGGAACGGACGCCCGTGCGGTTAGCCTTGGCACAAATGGGCAAAATATGGCACATGGGGACGCCTACTGTACACATGGCCCACTGAGCATTTCCATGAAGGGAACTCCTGTTGTAAAATGCGACATGAACTTACGAGTGTCCCAACTTATGAGGTTAGGGAGCAGTCACCTGCGTGATTTTTTTTTCATTTTTTTTCTTTGTGGTACAAGAAAGGTTATTTTACTTTCTGCCAGGGAGTGAGCACCCAGACACACGCCGCCTAGACGGGAAGCGGAACGGACGCCCGTGCGGTTAGTCTTGGCACAAGTGGGCAAAATATGGCACATGGGACGCCTACTGTACACATGGCCCCCTGACCGTTTACATGAAGGAGACTCCTGCAGTAAAATGCAACCTTAACTTACGAGTGTCCCACTTTATGAGGTTAGGGAGCAGTCACCTGCGTGATTTTTTTTCATTTTTTTGCTTTGTGGTACAAGAAAGGTTATTTTACTTTATGAAAACTAACAAAATACGTAACAAAAAACAAAATATTTTCTCTTAAAAAATAAAATGCTTTTTAAGAAAACAAAAACTAACTCAAACTACATTTTTCCATTCACAAAACTAACTATAACCACTCGATGATGTTGCCCCTACTTCACCATTTCAGGCGTTTGTTTTTTTGTTTTTTACCTCATCTAGAATTGAGCTGGCTTTTCTGTCTTTTCTAAAGTGAGGTTAGGGAGCAGTCACCTGCGTGATTTTTTTTCATTTTTTTGCTTTGTGGTACAAGAAAGGTTATTTTACTTTATGAAAACTAACAAAATACGTAACAAAAAACAAAATATTTTCTCTTAAAAAATAAAATGCTTTTTAAGAAAACAAAAACTAACTGAAACTACATTTTCCATTTACAAAACTAACTATAACCACTCGATGTTTCCCCTACTTCACCATTTCAGGTTTTTTTTTGTTTGTTTGTTTTTTACCTCATCTTGAATTGAGCTGGCCTTTCTGTGTATTCTAAAACTGAAATGTAGTCCTTATATGCCAAAGTTTTCCCAGCACTATTTTGAGCTAGCATGTAGCCTCTTAGCATGCTAACCCAGCATCGGCGTCATGAAAATCCCACCTATGAAGTCATTGGAGCGTCCCAAGTCGTAGTCCCACACCGTCACCTCCAGGGTCTTGTTGGCCAGCTCTGACAATGACATCTCGTAAAAGAACTCCTGCGCAGCACACGCGCGCACTTTAGAAAACACTCAACAGCGAATACTGGCTCATTCGCAAACGAAAAACACAAAGATAATCAATCTGCTTTCGCAGTGGACTACAAAAATCGGAGAATATTTACTGCTAAAAGGCAGAACGCAGAGGAGTTGGATAACTTCAAGTTAAACAAGGTCCCCAAACAATTCCTCTAGTTACAATTTTCGATGAGTTTGATACTGTAATCGATTAGTTGTTGATCAATGTTTGCGCTATGAACTTGTCGGACCGCTGTACCTCGTTAAATTCGGGGTTGAGTGTCCTCTTCATCACGGCAGTTTTGTGTTTGGATTTCTTGTGGATGTCAGGCTTCAGGTATCTGTCGCAAGAACCACAAACATCTCAACATGCTCATTAAGGGATGTCTTGTCTTAGCAAATTATTATCTAGGCGCATCATCGTTAGCCACTCTGCTAATTGTGTTTAATAAAAGGGCCTATCTCACTGGCGGAGATGTCGTGGTGACTCAGGAGACCAAAATATTGCATGCGTTCTCACCAGGACGCCATCTCACTGAGAACTACTCTGTTTCTTTGGTCTCCAGCAAGTCTCTGAGAGGTCGCTGAGACATTTCCCCGTCACAGTCAGAATTAGTCTCCATGACATCCCTGAGACATCGCCGAGATCTGCTGGACAATTGAGTTTGTTCGTCTCCAAAGGGACACTGAAAAAAATGGAATGTTTGAATTTACCGCCACTCTCTTGCGACTCCAAAAGTCTCCAAGAGACGTCGCCGAGATGTCTCCTAATGTGCAACTCGAGTCGCCATCAGGTCGCCAGCTCATCTCCAGGCCAGTGAGCTAGACCCTGAACCTGACGTAAGCTCGGGTGTTCAAGTCACATTTTGACGTAGGGGTCGGAGAAGCCGTTGACGTCCATGGCTGCCAGGTGAGCACAGCGCTTCACGCCCACGCAGAGACCCTCGCCGCCGCCGCTGTCATCCGGCTCGTCATCGGGCGGAGGCAAGAATTGTAGCGAAAGGAGAAGGCGACCTCGTTCCTCCAAACTGTGCAGCTGCTCGTTCTCCCACTGCGGACAGGACGTCCGTCAAGTCAGTGGACCGACTGCCAAAGGGCCGCCGTTTACAGAGCGACACGACTGAACTGGACAATTGGGCTGATTTAGAACACCTTTGATTTTTACTCTCTGCTACAGTACCACCTTCACTTAAGAGTGTGCCAACGATTACACCAACAAAGTGCAAATAGAAAGTGCTGATGACACAAAACCAGGAAACCCAAAATGAACAAAAAAAAACCCCGCTTGCAAACGTCAAGGTAATTTTGATACCCAAAAATACACAGCGCAAAATGGCAAAACTTGTATTCCACAAAATCCTAAAATAATAAGAAATCCACAAATACTAAACATGAAAACTATCGACATGAAAGCAAATATAAACATGAACGAGGCATCTAGAAAATTTCTCTTGAGCAACCAGCAACAAAGGTCAATAATCTGACAGTGGCTAGGCAGCTTGGCAGTTCAATACATGGCAAGGCTTGATCGGTAACAAGCCTTGTTGTTTGTTGTCGTTCCTTTGAAGTGCAATAGATAAGGCCAGGGTGAGGCGCTGCATCCCAACATTGTAATTCCCAAGAGTGACTTCCGAAGGTCTGCAGCTCTGTCTCAAGAGATGTCCACGTGTAGACATCCACGATATGTAGATGTCTACGCTCTGTCTCCATGCATGCGGCCCTTTTGCATTCCGTGTTGACACAGAGACATCCCAGTGGAACCCTCAAAGTCTCTCTGAGGTACTGATATGCCCTTGCATGTGGACAAGGAGTGCCACAGGTACCTATGGCAGTGAAGGACTCAAACCGCCTATAGGTCCACACCAAGCCACCTTCGGCCACGTAAAAGCCACTCAAGATCGACCAGTTCAAAACAGAAAAAAAATTGTACACCTTGAAGACTGACCACTTGAAGTTTGGCTTTTACCTCTCGCAAGTAGCAGGAGATCCCTCGCAGAGCTTCACCCATGGTGCTCGGAGACGGCAGCTGAACACACACACACACACACACACACACACACACATACACATACACATACACATACAGTGAGAAATTCTGTGTGAGTGAGTAAATGTGCGTGTGTGTGTGTGTGTGTGTGTGTGTGTGTGTGTGTGTGTGTGTGTGTGTGTGTGTATTAATCATTCTGTGAGTATGTGAGTGTGACTGAATGTACCGGCGGAGGATGTTCCAGGCACGTGTGGAAATGGTTGTTGTGGTCCGCTTTGACTCTTTTGAGAGAAACCCGTGACTCGCCAATCAACTCGTTGTGAGTCAGCTTGTCTTCGTCGCACACTGTCAGCCTGCGAGGGCCCCAGTGAGAGGAGAAGAGGGTGGGGGGTGGGGCGTCACCAGTGATTTAATTAACAAAATAAATGGCAAGGTTTGACATTGTGGAAAGTCATGCTTAAAACCCTGGAGAACCCAAGAACCCTTTTCTTCTTTGGAAAATGATGAATTATACATTAAATGACTGCTATATGTTCACTGAACACCAAAATATATGTTTTTTCAAATATTCAATGCTTTAATCCTAATTTAGGATTAGGGCCAAATTTGGGTTCTCCAGGGTTAAGTCTTCTGTGTGCAGTACATCAATCAGTTCAAATTGTAGTTTGTGACATGGAATGTTTGTGACAGTGGTGGTGCGCGTTACGTATGTGGACACACGTGGAGACGCGCACCCACCTGAGCATCTTCCTCTTCATGTCTTGCGGCGTGATTCCCTCGTAGGTCAGCGTCTCGTTCCACACGGGGTTCAGAGAGTTGCGGATGGTCTTTGTTTTCAGTTTATTGGCCTGATGGACACATTTTGTCAACATCCGTAGCATATTAGCGTCATCAACTGCACACGCCACAGTCATTTTAGTTTTGGTTTGGATCTTGGTACAGGGCGTGTCTCCAACATTTGGAAGCAGTATTTTTGTAGGCGCTGCTTGGTCTCAAAAAGTTTGCCAAACAGTGTTGTAGGAAGTTGTGGCAGGTTCCCATCTGACCTTGCATGCGCCGGGCAGCAGATGAACTTTGACGTACGGGTCCGCCAAGCCGTTGAAGTCCATCGGCTTCAGGCCCTGTGGAGAAAAGTGTCCTGTCAATGGCTGCTTCTCCAAAAATGGTGTCCTCTTATCTTACCTCCCTAGAAATGACCTTTGATATCTGATATATTGGCCTTATAATATGATATAATTCTGAAAAAATACGACTATTTTTGTAAGTTTAGCACTTTTCATCTTGACAAAAAGTGTTTTTTCTTTTATTTTTCTTGAGAAAAAAATGACTTAATCCTCATTCCATGAAAATATATATTTTTTAAATATATATATATATATGAATATGAATTCATTATTATGACTATATTCCTTCTGTCACATGATTTAAGTGCAGGGACTTTCTGTTTGCGTCTTACCTTGGCTCTGATCACAGTGCAGTGCAGCTGACTGGTCGCCTGCTCGTACATCAGCTCAAACTGCAGAGTTCCCAATGCTGCTACACACACACACACACACACACACACAAAGAAACACAACCGGCACTTGCAACACTCCACAACACATTAGTGTCTACGTGAGAACATTGACATCATGTGCTAGCATAAATGTGCTAGCGTTTATGCTGCTAGCGACTATCATCTATCTAGCACAAAGCTTTTGCCAAAGTAACTTGTTCTATGGCACATTTAAAATCTGTGTAGCCCCACTAAGCCTCTCCAGCATTTTATTTGATTCTCTAAAATATATTTAGAGGGAATTTTCTCAGCCCCATGTTTTAAGCCTCTCTTTAGCCTCGCCACTAAAAATAAAATCCTGCTCATCTGGTTTTACCTTTAGGTACCTCCACACAGCCGACATGGCTCCTACCTGCAAAGTGTTTGTCAGGCTGGTGAAGTGTTACTGGTTTCGTAATGTCTGAGCATCGTTAATAAGTCGGATAATTAAGATTAGCATGTTAGCGTGGCCTTCAACAGTTTCTCACATGGCCCCTTTGGAAAATGAATTCCCCACCTTTGTACTTGTGTTCACATGCTCCTATTTTTCAATTTGCAACATTGATCATCGTGAAAAGTGAGTGTGCTTAAGACACAGCTGTGTCCTAATTCGTATACTGCGTCCTCCCAAGGAACCTTGGCAGTCCTTCATCTCGCCTCCGTGGAGCGCGGAAACCATGGCCAATTTGGACAGGGCGAGCGACTCTAACTTTTCTGTTGCAAGATGCCGGCAATGTGCTTGGCTTGTAGAAGGGACATTGAAAGGCAGAAGAAGCACTGCGTAGACGAAAAGCGGAGCAATGTAAGCAACCCAAAAAAGTATGCGTCGAAGTGACCTTTGTTCAGGGCCCGTCCCCATGGAAACAAAGGCCAGATTTGAAGGCTGGATTCGAAGACAGCGTGAATTTGGACACCGGCGTGCGATCGAAGCGCACCGTGACGTAAACTGGCCTTTCAATTCGGCCTTTGGTGGACGCAGCTTACGAATTTGAACCCAGGCGCAGAATGACAAGAAGCCTCACTGCAGTCGTCGCTGTCCGAGCCAGTGGCGTCCACTGAGGCTTCGGCGTCACCGCCACCATGGCCGTACCCCGTCCCGGATGGGCCGAGGCCTGGCGGGGGTGTAGGGGAGGTGGACGAACGGTGGGGGAAGTAGTCAGAGATTTGGCGGATGGGTCGGATGGGGCCCGGGCACACATCAATAGCCATGTGCTCTTGGATGGAGATGCTCAGCTTCTTCCTGGTCCGCCTCGCACTCATCCGGCCTGAAAACGCATGCCACGCCCGTCTGTCAATGACCACCGCCTCTCCACCAAAACAAACCGCCTCCCCGCTGATTGATTGATTCAATTCTTGATTTAAAATGAGACATTGATGTGAAACAAAGAACAAAACAGACATGAAGAAAATTTCAGATTAAGTTTGGCCGATCTATTAATCAGCAAGGGCAAGCTGTCCATGAGCGCCAACTGCCGTTTGATTAAATCAGTGCCCGTTGATTGAGTCAAATGGTCGTCAATCGACACGGACCGACTTTCAATGGAAACGGGTGGCCTGTCGATTGAAGCGGACCACCTGTCAATCAGCGCAGTCGCCCTGCTGATCACCTGAGACTCGCCATTGGCTGTCATTTTGGTGCTTGCTTCACACTCAGTTTGCTCATCGGCGGGAGTGGGACTTTGTCATCGGCACGGTTGCTGGCATCACATGTGAAGAACGCCCATGAAAGGATTGATGCGCTTGCTCGTATCTCAGCGACCAGTCACAGCATCCACAGATGTCTCCTTCCCTGCCCGTTTTCACACTTGCTTTCATTGTTGCAAGCAAATCCTGACTGACAGTTCTGTGTGTGTGTGTGTGTGTGTGTGTGTCCCCGCGCGCGACGTATTGAACGTTTTGCAGCTCTGCATGCGCTTCAAGTGACCTCCACAGGGGGGCGCTGCAGAGCGAGCGGAGGTGCATTGCAGCTAGCTGCTTAATGAGCTCCAAATGAACCTCTTTCAATAACTCATAAACGCACGCAACAATATCAAGCAAGTGGACGAGACCACGCCAAGACAGGTTTTGCCCCGGCTGCGGAAAACATTTGAAAGGTCTTGTTGTCGCACGTTTGTCCCGGTTCCTTCCCGCATGAGTTCTGTTGTCGCTGAGTGCATCACAACACATCATAGCAGTCCACAAATCACACGCAACCCTGACGTACGACAACGTTTCCACTTGTTGCTGCCCTCAACTCTGTTGCACTTGAGTGATGAGTGATTTTGTGTGTGTGTGTGTGTGTGTGTGTGTGTGTGTGTGTGTGTGTGTGTGTGTGTGTGTGTGTGTGTGTGTGTGTGTGTGTGTGTGTGTGTGTGTGTGTGTGTGTGTGTGTGTGTGTGTGTGTGTGTGTGTGTGTGTGTGTGTGTGTGTGTGTGTGTGTGTGTGTGTGTGTGTGTGTGTGTGTGTGTGTGTGTGTGTGTGTGTGTGTGTGTGTGTGTGTGTGTGTGTGTGTGTGTGTGTGTGTGTGTGTGTGTGTGTGTGTGTGTGTGTGTGTGTGTGTGTGTGTGTGTGTGTGTGTGTGTGTGTGTGTGTGTGTGTGTGTGTGTGTGTGTGTGTGTGTGTGTGTGTGTGTGTGTGTGTGTGTGTGTGTGTGTGTGTGTGTGTGTGCATACATATGTGTGTGTTTGTGTGCTCTCGAGTTAGTGTGTCTCACCTAGTTGAGATGATCCAGATGAAACTGAAGCAAGTGCCGTCCAGCAGATGCGGGTGTCAACTAACTACCAGGTGGAGATTGAGGGGGGCGGCATCCAGCAAAGGGGGAAATAGTGAGGGGAGGGGGGCAAGCAAGCAAGCGATGGGAGTTGTTCACCTTCTTTTTTTTCTTTACGCTTTGTGCTCCTCCGTCTGTTTCCTTACCATCCTGTGAGCAGACTTGAAGCTCTTCTTTTTATCATGCCCCCCCCCAACACACTCGCCCCCACTAGAACAACACTCCCCATTCGCAGATGCTTCGGGTGGGTGGAGGAGAGGGGGGGGAGCCTTTGGAGTGGGTGTCGGAGTAAACGTAGCTCTGTACTCATCCTCCTCCTTCCTTTCTATATAATTTGTGCTTAATGATAGTTAATGATACATGTATGCAACCAACACACACACACACACACACACACACACACACACACACACACACAAGGGCGGGGGGGATTCAGCTTCTTCCCACAAGCCATCACTGCACTGAGCTCACCATAACACCAACACTTCTTTTTCTTAATATTGCTGCTACTGTACAGTATACTGTATATATCACATCATGATTCTTATTATTATTGTTCCACTTGGGCTCGCTGGTATTTGCATTCACACGTATAGTCGGGCTCAATATTAGATTTTCTATTGTTTTTTTATTCTTTACGAAACAATATGATTTTGTTGCAAAAAAAACAAAACAAAAAAAAAAAACAAGAAAGGCTTTCTACTACACACACTCACAAACACAAACAGATATACACGCACTCAGTCTCTCCCTTACACACACACGCACACACACACACACACACACACACACACACACACAGTCTGACTCATACGTACTGTACATGCAGACTTACATGCACTCTCTCCCTCACACACACACACACACACACACACACACACACACACACACACACACACACACACACATCCCGCAGTTACACGCTCAGATACAAACAACAGGGAAAGTGGAGATGATGTGAACACCATCAGGCCACCATACATCCTCATCCAGCTGCTGCAGAAGGACTGCATGTTTGCGCAGTGCGTGTCTGTCTTTGTTGATTTGGGATCGGTTCCCACTCACTGACGGTGTGGATGCGGATGTGAAGGGTTGTTTGTCTCTGTATGTGCCCTGCGACTGACTGGCGACCAGTTTAGGGTGTACTGTAGTCTCTCTTCCATGCGAAGTCAGCTGGGATAGGTTACAGCACACCCTTCGCCCCCACCTCGCTGACCCTGTCCAGGATGAGCGGTGTTGAAAATGGATGGATGGATGTAAAATCAATACAGTTTTTGGAAAACGTTATTTTGTTATGTCAAAACTGAACTGTTGAATAAGTGGAGATAAACGCAAGGATGACTGAGGTATTTTCCAAACTGAAATTGGTTACGTTGATCAAAATGTCCCCCTTGACCCATGGAAAATGTGGACTTGTTGCACAAGTGTATCGAAAATAGCACTAATAATCTTTTTTTTTTTCAAGGCGACCTTGTTGACCAATATTTCGAAATACAAAAAAAACCTGTGGCGAATCGTCCCAAATTGTCATGTGACTTTTAATCCAGCAGAGGGCAATGTTGCTCACATCATATTTATTGTTTTGTTCAACAAAGCATATGTCAAACTTTATTGCGAAATCCGCCATGTAACACCCAAATGTTCCCGCTGCCGCCACGCGCACCACCGCTGCGGGTGGTCGGTTCACAGGCAGCCGACTTGGTCATCAGGACGGACGTCGGCGCCGGGACGGACGACGTGGTCGCTCCCGTGCCATCGTCACTGCAGGTCGTGTCCGCTTGAGCCGTCAGATGAGTCCTGGGGGGGGGCAAAAACACGCTCAACATCGACCCACTATTAAATTCCTTGACTCGATTTAGTCATACATCAGAAGCCCTTTCCCCAACGAAATGAATTCAAATGGTGCCAGTAATCTGTACTTCTGAAATAAGACAATTGAATTTACCATGCGGAAAATTCTGGATCCCCCCCCCACCCCCCCAAAAAAAAATAATTAATATTTAAAAAAAGAAACACACCATATTGTCTAAATATATAATAAGCGTGAATGTGGAGACTTAAATAAGTTCTGTAAAGACAAATGTCACAATAACTATTGTGTGGGTTTATGGGCCTTTCGGGGGCGTGGCCTATTGAGAGAAGGAATTTGGCCTGTGGCGAGCACATGGCGGTGGGGGGGGGGGTGGGGGGAAAGCGGGTAAGGGGGGGAAAGGAAGAAAAAAAATTGGTTTAACCTTGGACTTTCATTCTTTGGTCTTCTTGTCGCTGTTTTGAAGTTTCTCGGCGATCTTTCGCTCGTGTCCCGCCGGGACGTGCCTGTTGGTGTTTTCGCTGGCCTCCTTCTTTGTGCGACCTTTGCGAGATGCCCCCTCTGGTGATGTCATCATCGCCAGCGCAACACCGAGAAAAAAAAAAAAACAACAGCAACAAGGTTCAGCTGTCCGTTTTCTATATTGCTATTCTCCTCCTGGAGCCCATCCCAGCTGCCTTTGAGTAAGAGGCGGGCTGGCTACCAGCCAATTGCAGGGCACATATAGACAAACATGATGATGATGATGAAGAAGATGATGTGTCTGACCTGTGTATTTGTCACTTAGGTTGTAGTAATCGTACTGGTCGTAGTACTGGTCCTCGAAGTTGCTGGGCTTCAAGTTCTTGACGTCCACGTGACTCATGTCGCCGCTTTCCTCGTCGTCTCGCAGGGCAAAACAAACAAAAGAAATCAACTGCCTCGCTCTGGTTCGATGGATCGCTGTGCTCTTGTGCTGCCTGGTTGCTTGCGTGTTTGTGTGAGGTGGCGCTTTTATGGGATAGCTCAGTTCCCTCCCCGGGGCCCGCCCCATTCCACTGTTTTGCTGAAAACTTTCAGGCTCCTCCTGCTATTGCATCATTTGAAAGCTCAGGACTCACTTTTCAAATGTTCCAAAACACAGGCATAACCAAGCAGCGTATCTGCCCAAATTTCAGCCAGCCAAAGTTTTCATCGTCACGTCCTTGTGTCGTGTTGGTATACCTACTGTTTTACTCCAGGCATTAATAAATCCACACACTACAGGTACTTTATAAACTCCTGCTCCAAAAAGTTTTTTTTTAAAGTTACAGTCGAGTAGTGCAAGTCCAATGAATAGCTTGAAATGGGAAAAACGAAAATTGAGTTGAGAGCCAAGTCAACAAACTTCTACAATGAAATTGGTCTTGGAAGCATTTTTACGACTGACTGCTTGAGCTTTGTGACTTTCCAGCCGAGCAAAAACGCTTTAATTGTGCATCCTCCGCATTGTTTGATACATGAACTCTTTCATGCACCCTGTAACCTGATAACATGATCAGCCATCCACTGTCATAACTGCTGTCCCTGAAAGGGTTAGATCAAAACTTTATTTCATTATTTTGCTTCGGCTCCTGTTGAATGCATGTGATCAACATACGTGACCTAGTTCTGTTTTTTTTTATCTCTCCGTCGCTCCACGATAACTCACAAACTTCCAACACGAACTTTAATCTGCTGAAAAACCAGGACAAGGTCACAGACAGCCTACACAAAAAGTTTACGCAACATCACGCCACACGCTTCTTTATCACACAACATGCACGTTCTCAGGAGATTTCGACACAAGTTTGGTTAAAAATAAATCGGCTGCGCTTTTCAACTTTACTGCATTCTGAATGTGTGTGTGTTTGGGTACACTCAATAATGTTTGCGAGCCACTAATGCAGTGGCTTAGAAGCAGGTCACGCAAGATAAGAAAGTCTGTTTTCGCTTTGCTGCCAACTTTGGCATTGAACTTGATGAATGACACGCATGCAGCACGCGCTCACGTGGGCATACACATATCATCAACAAATCGGCTCGCAAAGCGGTTAGCATTCCTATTTGAACTTGTTCCGAATTTTGCTCTCATTCAAACATCCTGCGGTTGAATAGCTGGCCTGTGACCTGGAGTCTGTCCCAGATGACTCACTCCGGATTGGGCGCCAGCCACCGCTCGGGCACAAATACACAAATGACTGAATGGTTCCGAGCAAATGTCAGGGCAACCGTAGGCAGGCGGTGACTTTGTCCCTACATAATGTCATGGGAATTCAAGACAAACAATGGGCTGGTCACCAGTCGGGGAATTATAGATACCAGCCACTGGCAGAGCACAGACTGACAAACCACGGATTGGTCGCTAGTTAATGTCAGGCACAACCTGCAAACTGTGAGGCGGACGTGCTAAGCACTCCTGCACTTGCTGTGCTTGTGTGTGTGCGCGAATATGCCCAATACTGTATTCGATGTGCTCCTCGGCGCCTGCTTGGCATCCAGCAGGTGGCAGGGCGTCCCACACGCCTCTGTTTCGACAGCAGGAAAATGAGACAAAGAAGAAGAGCTACCCGGAAATAGAAGAAGACGAAGCTAACGTGCTAGCCTAGCAAGCGGACAACTTTTGGAAGGTTCAATTGTGTTCGTATGTCGCTTCGAATATTTTTGTGCCAATCATTGCAAGTGTTGACTGCTGATGTGAATGAATGTCATACATGCACACTTCCGGTTATGTTTTGTTTTTAGGTCGTGGCCAACACTCGACTTACGCCAAGCCTAACATACGCGGTGGTAGCTCATTGAAGTGGATAGCTGAAGATAACGCTTATTATTAATGTTTTCATTAATATTGGATAGCAACTGTAATTTTGGCACTCACTAGTCAGTTCCCGTTTTAGACACAACGATTTTCAAAAACCATAGGACACATTATCCCTCTTCAAATTTTTATTACGGCTTTTTTTCACCAACAAAAGTGACAAACGTGAATTTTTTTTTACCGGATCATTCACAATTGTAGATTTTTTTTCTTCTGTACATCCATCCATCCATCCATTTTCCGATACGCTGATCCTCACAAGGGTCGCGGGGTGCTGGAGCCTATCCCAGTCATCTTCGGGCAGTAGGCGGGGGACACTCTGAACCGGTTGCCAGCCAATCGCAGGGCACGCAGAGACGAACAACGATCCACACTCACACTCCGGGCCGCCTTCTGTACGTTCAATCAATATAAATAATTTGTCGTAATTGTAACAATGAATGCTTTTTTTAATGAGGTTGTGTGATCAGTCCGCATAATGATTCCAATGCTATGAGGGAGTCTTTTACATGCTTGCTTATCTGTTTATTATTTTATAACGTGGCTAAGTATGTGTGAATATAATAGGGAATACATTTGTTTCTATGTGCCCTGCGATTGACTGGCAATCAGTCCAGGATGTGCCCTGTCTCTCGTCAGCTGGGATAGACGCCAGCTGACTTGTGACAATGAGGACAAACGCTTTAGAAAAGGAGTTAATGGATGGATCAATATTATAACAGTGAGATTTATTTAAGGGTGGAACGAATCATTATTTTGATAATGCCGAAAATGCACAAGCCTAACATGATGATAATTCAGTTGCTGTTCTGTGAGAAAGTTATTGAAATATTAGCCATTGTTTTCCAGTGTAAAAGTAGTGTCTGTAACGCCTTTTTTGTTGGCACAGAATTCATCTGGAGGACTACAGAAATAGAAGATTGACTGTTGAGAGGCTGACGTTTTGAGGATTTGGACAATTTTAAATTCAACAAGGTCTTGAAACAAATGGATGATCGAAATAGTTGCCAATTAATTTGATATATTAATTGTCAAGTCATTGTTGCACCGCGAACCTTTTTGTGACAATATGAGTGATGTTGTTTGTTGACATCAATCAACATTAGGAGATGTCAGCAGATACCAAGATCGCTGAACTGCTCACTGAACTTCACCAGCTCATCAAACACACGCAGGTCAGCTTGCGTGATGTCATCATTCCTGTGTGTGTCTCAGGTGGTCACATGACCCAATATGTGCGTACCTGTTTCAGGAGGAGCGGTCACGCAGCGAACACAACCTGCTCAACATCCACAAAACCCATGAGAGGATGCAGACGGAAAACAAAAGTCAGTGGGCGTGTTTCCGGGTAATTGACACGCCACATTCTGTATGAGATTGACATGAGTGCGCGTTTGTCCTGCAGCGTCGCCGTACTACCGCAACAAGCTGAGAGGACTTTACACCACCGCCAAAGCCGACGCAGAGGCTGAGTGTGGGTCAGTTCAGCATGCGGACTGCATTGCAGTTCAAGATCAGGATTTTCTTCCTGGTTTTTTTTTTTCCCTAAATGCAATATTCTATCAAAAATATTTTCTGTTGCTATTGATCACCAGTCTATCCTGATGCATGTTAATATTGAATTATTGTCTAGCCCTACACCCTAGCGCAACATGTCATGTAAGGTGTTGCCATGGTAACCGTAAACGTTTGTCCGGCATTTAGAATCCTGCGTCGCGCTTTGGACAAAATTGCGGAGATCAAGTCGTTACTGGAGGAGCGAAGGATCGGTGCGTATGCGCCTGGGTCCCATCTTGTCTGTCTTGCCACCGGTGTCCCCTCACGACGCATTTTGTCCGTTGCAGCCGCTAAGATGGCCGGCGTTTATAGCGACAGCGACCCCCCTAGGAAGACCATGCGGCGCGGCGTTCTCATGACGCTCCTCCAGCAGTCGGCCATGACGCTGCCGCTCTGGATTGGCAAGCCTGGCGAAAGGTACCGCAACACCCTCTTTTTACTTGACTTGTTGAATAGCAATGCTGTTTTCCCAAACGTGAGCAATCATAATCATGGTTACAAACTTGACCAAAATAACGGTGAGTCTCATTTTGGCCATAATCATGCAGCCCTATACCTGACCACTGCCACATGCTTGAAAGGGGAACTCCAGTCACCATCTCAGAACTTTGCATTATATTTGAAATCTTTCTTATCTGCCGCTGTTTATTTTAATCTTAGAGAGCATTTATTCTGGGGGAATAAAAAAAAAAACATTGTCTGTGCGTCTTTGCAGCCCACCCCCTCTGTGCGGGGCCACACCCGCCAGCGGCGACTACGTGGCCAAGCAGGGAGACAAGGTGGCGGCCAGGGTCAAAGCGGTGGACGGAGACGAGCAGTGGATCCTGGCTGAGGTCGTCAGCTACAGCCACGCCGCCAACAAGTAAGCGCCTCGCCTTTTATTTGGACCTCCTTTACTCTTCTATCAATCCAGTCCAAATAACAGCGTGGCATAGGTCAAGTCTGTGCTGTCCACCATCTAGTGTTGAACACTATTATTACAACTGAAAACTGATAAACTGCAGTAAGGTTTTCTTGTTGTCATAGATTAATCAAGGGCTGAGAGAATGGGCTGCCAGTTGCCTATAAAATGCATTGAAAATCCCTTTGTGGTGATTTGGCAGCCTGTCATGCATTCACAAACATTCACTCCTTCCTGACCCCTTCTTTTGTTCTTGAACGTTCCCGTCCTTTAATAATGGTATATAAGACAAAAAGACCAAATGGCAATATAGGAAGTGCGCTAAACACTTGTGAACCCTTCCAGGTACGAGGTGGACGACATCGACGAAGAAGGCAAAGAGTGAGTATGTCACATGCAAGAAGTTCGTCAGGCATGCCGCCAGGTGCCGATGTCACTTCCTGTATGTGCTCGGGCTTCAGGCGACACACTCTGAGCAGACGTCGCATCATCCCGCTGCCGCAGTGGAAGGCCAACCCCGAGACGGACCCCGAGGCGCTCTTCAGCAAAGACCAGCTGGTGCTCGCCCTCTACCCACAGACCACCTGCTTCTACCGCGCCCTCATACACGCTCCGCCGCACAGGGTCAGTCCTGCACGCTTCATGACCCGTACGGGTCAACTGTTGGAGCTTTCACTACATTTTGCTGAAGGGTCAAATTCCCAACAGGAGTTTGATCCCTGCGCATTTTCTTGTTTGCCTTTCTTGACGCCTCCGATCACACTGTCCCAAGCTCAGTGGCCGCTTCCTATTTGAAGGCTCGTTCTTGATGATCGAAACTAAGGCCGAGAAAGTGCAAAACAGCAAATGATTTTGTGGTTCGCTTTGTCATGGCTTCGTGTTTGATGTTGTCCCAGCCCCAGGACGACTACTCGGTGCTGTTTGAGGACACGTCGTACGCAGACGGCTACTCGCCGCCTCTCAACGTGGCTCAGCGCTACGTGGTCGCCTGCAAGGAGAACAAAAAGAAGTAAAAGCCAAGTGGACACAAGACACCGCCGCACGTCACCTGGGCCTCAAGCCGCATTGTGGCCAGTCGAGGAACTGCATCTTGCCAAAAAGAAGCTTTTTGTTTAAGATAACCATACCCGTCAACCTCGGCTAATAGCTGCCCTTATAAATGATTACAATTCCCCTTACAAAGCAACAAAAACCCGTACAACGGCTTACCGCACATGCGCACATCATGCTTTATCAATCCGATCGTACGCAGCGATGAAAAAAAATATACGATTGAGGATTACTTTTGCTGGTTTGCCGTGACAATAGTAGTGATCGACGACGGCATTGTCGTTGGCTACCAGCAGGTGAGACGATCTGGATTTGAGCCAAAATGGTCTTTGTGAGATCGGTTCACAACTGTTTTTTTTTTTTCGTATAAAAGTTGGAATACGCCGTACATGATTTAAAATGATAAAAAAACGTATAAAATACGGGGAAAACGTACAAGTTGACAGGTATGGATAACCTTTATTCGTCCCACACTGGGGAAATTTGCAGTTTACAGCAGCAAGATTGTGGGGGGGGGGGGCATAAAGTGTTTGATTGCACAAAATAAATGTTTCAGACGAAAACAAACTCAAACAGGGACATGCAGCTGCTGGAGAGGCAGCCACTGGGGGCGTTTTGGTCGTGTTTAAAATACTATGGAATATTAACGATGTGTGCATGAAATATTAAGACTGTAAATAGTGAAAACTGTTTGAATTTTTTTTAACATTAAAGGGTACAGAATAAACCATGTATTTGTTAATGATAATTTTTTTTGTTTTAAAACAATTTAAACCGGAACGTTTGAATGGGGCTTCTTTTCAGGCCATGAAAGCAGCTCGGTGGCACCGTGTCCCCAGGTGAGGGAATTTTGTTTTTGTTTTTATGTCCTACAGTCCGTGAATGCAGCAGTGACGCGCTGCACCACTAGACAGAAGATGGCGGACGCGGTGAGTTTGTCTCATCAGTTTGTTCAGCGATTAAAAAAAAAGAGAAATAAAACACTAGAAAGTGTTAATGAAAGCGTCATGTGTTTAATGAGAGATGACCTGTTGGTGAAAAGTTTCTAGGTATAAGTGGTGCTCAAATCAAAGTAGCTTGTATCTAGCCCATGCTAACGCGCCCTCAGCTTCACTTTGGGGCATTAAAGGAAAGAACGCTCAAACAAATTATTTGCAGTATTTGGCATTGAAGTGTCACACGTCACTAGGGTCAGTCTTGCAACCCATGGTCTGTCACAAAAGTTAAGAAGTCACTCTCTGGAAGTTTTCGAATAGTTGGGAGTCCAAATGTGTGATATTTCCCCACGATGATGTCACAGCATGATAGCGCTTATCAGCGGGCGACCACTAAGGAAATGGCATTTTGCGACGTGACCCGCGGGGTCTCTTTGTCTGCCAGCTTCACGATGGTGACGCGAGGGCGGACAAGCCGGCGCCCAAACGCCGTCGCATCCTGGACTCAGCGACCATCATCCCCGTGCCCGTCTACTCCAACAAGGCAAGTTCAAGAGCGCCACCCCCCAAAATCAGCACTTTTCACGAGGCTCCTAAAACGCCAAGTTTGTTCCATCAGTTTGTATTTTATCTTTCAACACTTAATATTGCTCAACCCTTTGTGATAATTACACTCACACGATTGAACAATATTAGAAATATGTATGAAATTGACCAACACATGTTCTGGCCAGACGCCAGCCATAAGATGTGTGGGTCTTGTTTGACAGCGGTCCACGTTTTTTTTTTTCTGTCAGAACTTGCAAAACAAATATTGACCTTTGTTTCAATTTTTCCCGTGTTACTGATAAATATACCCTACCAGGCACTAGAATGTTTTCAATTCACATTTTATCGTGCAAATTTTGACACAATGTAGACATAAACAAGCTCTCCAGCCTGATTAGGAACAATGTTATTGTTGATGCTGGCGGCACAATCATGCCGCTGACTGGTTGGCTTCCAGGTGAACAGCAGCCTTCGACTGAATGCGGAGCGTCCGGTCTTGACGCAAAAGGAAGGAACAGGTCAGTAAGGGCTGGCTTGTGCCACCGCCGACGTGTTTCAGATTCACTTGAGCTCTTTCCTCGCCTGCCGCCACAGATGAAGGCGAAGTGGATAATCTGTGGTCGCAGATGACGCATCGGGAAGAGCAAGCGTTCAGAATCACCATCAGTGACTCTGATGACGAACAGGAAGTGTACGTGTCGCACCAGGAAGTAGCACGTGCCCACACACAAAATTCATCGTGTGTGTGTTTGTGTATGTCAGAAAGGAGAGTCCTCCGCTGTCTCCGCCCCCTCCCCCAGCAGAGATTTCCTTCCAGAAACAGTCCCGACAGTCCAAGATGAAGATCAAGTGAGTTTCTTTCTCGCATACATAAGTCTGCAAGAAAATCTCGCATTTGTCCACGAGACACACACACACACACACACACACACACACACACACACCTGTGCTATATTTTGTGATTGAGAACACATCACAAATATGGGTCACCTAACAATTTTAGTGTGGTTCTCATTGATGCACCTGAGGTTGTTGCTTGGTGTTGCTCCAACTGAAACTTGACTTCCTGTGCTCCATGTCTAACTTTTAAGATTAAGATATCCTTTATTTATTGGGAACATATGCAAATTATAAGTAACATATCAGAAAAACACTCCCTTCTTCATTTACATGTCACGCCTCTCAGCCCAACCCACCGATACGCCCCTCAGTGGGCACCTGGAGGCCAAAACATCTCTTGGTACAAACAATGGATACCTTGTTAATTCACTGGGTAGATTTCGCGTGAATTGAGACACTGTAACAAACTCAAGGACATCTTATTGTGCTGCCTACCCGAAGTTGAACCTTCCTGTCTGTACTATCAGTTAACAAGGCCTAAGCTCCATTCAGCTCAACCATACAACAAAATGAAACTTTAAACATGATAACTTTGAGTTCGTCTATACTGTATCAGCTACTTTGATGCGCAACGTCAACAAACTCATCTTGTGTGTGCACATGTGCATGTCAGTGAAGTGGAGAGGAGGCTTCGTGCTGTCAGCGCCGCCCTCTCCCCCACGGGTGTGTCCAACAGGGGGCGCCGGCGTGCCATCCCGGAGCAGGATGATGATGACGATGTCATTGTGATGGAGCCCGGGCTACAGTCATGTGACTTGCAGGTGCTAAAGGTTCGATGTCGCACCAACATCTACAAGCTGAACGTCACAGCGGTATGTGCATAGTACATTTGAAGTCGTGTAACCAAGCAAGGATGCAGTCCAGAAATTTCCCACTTGTTCCTCAACATCTAATTGAGTGCCAAATTAATCAACAACTGTTTTGATAATTGATGAATCTCTTTATAACCTGGTTCGGTTTCACATTTTCCAAATCCTTGGAATTTTTATTTGTCAACAGTAAATATTCTTCAATTTCCATCGTGGTCCATGAAAGCAGGCTGATTTATTTTCTTCTTTTTTTCAAAACAAGATATTTACAAACATTGGCTTTTATTTTGAAAACCACAATAATCCACTTTTTTCTGAAATTGTGACAGACATTACAGACCAAACCGAGAACTGAATCATCAATGAATGTGTGCATTTTCTGCACTGAAATCATGTTCTTCAATGAAGGGATGGGGGAAAAAAAAGTGTTAATCTGATTCCTCTATGAATGGAAAAAACAACGGACAGATGAATGGTCGATTGAAATACTGGTTAACTGCAGTCCTCGAAATGTTCCCCTGGTGCCCCGCAGAGTACGTCGGTGAGCCAGATGGTGAGCCAGATGGCAGAGATCTTGGGCGTGCCCGCCTTCCGCCTGCGGCTCCTGAGGGAGGAGGCGGAGCTTGCTGCTGAGGCCAGCGTGGGCGAGTTGGGCCTGGACATCGCTGACATCTTGGGTGAGTCACAGGACAAGTCCAAACCCCAAGTTTTGCTTCATATCTTCTCTCTCTCTGAAAGTTGTTTCCATTTCTATTTCATTTTCACACAAAACAATGATGACGATAATGAACAATTTCCTCATCTCAGCCATCCCTCTGACAGTGATATGATGTCGTCTGTTGTGTGTGTCTAGAGTGTGTCGTCATGGCGACGGAGGAGGGTGCCGTCATCACGCTGCGACTGCAGGGCAAAGACCGAGGATCCACGCGGGACTTCTCGGTGCACAAAGTACGTAGCCGCCGCTTCCTGCCAAGCGCAGCTGCGCTCGCCGGGGCTAACAGCCGATGGGTGTCGCAGGGGGCGGAGCTCGGCGCCATATTCTCGCAGTACGTGTCTGCGCTGCCCGCCGCCGCCAAGCGGAAAGTCAAGTTTCACTTTGATGGCTGCAAGGTAACAGACGGACAGACGCCGGCGCAGCTGCACATGGAGGACGGAGACATCATCGAGGTGTGGACGTGACGCCAAAAGAAAAGGACTGCCAGTTTCATTTGCTGCAGAAAACAAATCACTCTTCGTTTGTACTTTGGAAGACATTAAAGACTTTTTTGGGGGTGGTTTAACCGCTTTCTTGGCATGGTGCATCAGGGGCGGATTGCTGTCATCAATGCAGTGCTTTACTCAGTGATACTCTAAAAGTGGTGCGCTGAAGAATTACGGCCTGAGTGCACTTGATTTTTATGTAACTTGAATTTGGCTGCGGTCAGGCATTTGGACTCGTATCTATTCAAAATCAGCACCTTTCACCAAAGCCTCAAAACGGCACACTTTTTGAGTCATAAATGTTGAAGAGAGGGCAACATTTTCAACTCTTTAGATTGGGCAGTTGTATGTCAAAGTAACATAGGCACACGTGGGAACTGACCAATTGTATCAATTTGTCGAAAAAAAATGATTGCTGTGATTGGCTGGCAACAAGTTCAGGGTATACTCCGCCTGCTACCTGAAGTCAGCTGCGATAGGCTCTTGCATGATCACGACCCTCGTGAGGATTAAGTGGTTTCACATCATGGATGGTTTGAAATCTAAGATTGACCAAATGTGGACATGGGAGGTTCTGGCCCAACCAACACCAGTGATCTGCATTTCATGTTTGATGCATTGTTTTGGTACAATTTTCTTAATAAAATTTCATGTGCACTACATTTTAATTGAGCCATTATTTAAGTACAGTTTTAAATTAAGAGCAGTGCCTATTTGTTTGAACCTTTATATCTCCAAGAAAGCAAATTGGAAGAATTGTGTTCAAACTGTGCAGAATGTTGATCAAACTACTGACATAGGTTAAGAAACACCATCCCGCTGCTTCATAATGGTGGGGTGGAGTGAAGAAGCTCATAGCTACATTAAAAAAAAAAAAAAAAAAAAAAAACACTAAGATAAATTAACATTTATTTGAATGTTAATTTGAACTCAAAAGTCATTTTGCAAAGATCACATTTCCCCTTGAAGAACTTTGGTGCGGTCTCAACTCAATCAACAATACTTTTGTTGTAATTACAACACACTCATATGGGGGTGACGAAGGCAAAAGAAAAAAAAAAGCACAGAGCCAAGTTTGAATGTCTTTCGCATTCGTGGAGAGTCTAACGGTCCTTAAGTGCCTGCGAAAAATGTCTCCGGCTACTCCTCTTTCCTCTCATATTCCAGAAAACATACATGCTAGGTTGATTAACACTTGAAATTGTCCATAAGTGTCAATGGTCATGTGTCTGAATGTCAGTTTATTTGAAACATGGAGATAACGTTATCACCTGATTGAATGCGGACACGTGATGAGTCGTCACGTGAGCTTGTGACCGGAAGTTGGTTCCAAAGTGTCATGGCGGCAGCAAACAAATGTCATTTGTGAGGTTTTTCGCTCACCACAAACTTTTCTCGCCGGCTGACAACAGCAGCAACAACAACAAGAAAGCAAGACAAAAAGACCAAAAAAACGGACATGTTTGTTCAACAGCTTCGGTGAGATGAAGCCGGAACTTGATGAAATCGTCTGAGTCATCGCATTTGGAGGTAAACAAACATGTTTTTTTCTTTCCAATGTTAACTTGTGATTCACAGGGACGCAGTATCATCAACACTTTTGGACTTCCTCTTACATTCTGACCATTAAGCCCACGCGCTCGTCTATTTCTTTTTATTTTACTACATATAGTTTGTTTTTGTTTGGGGGTGGTTCGTCGGATTTGTGTCGTGTCTCATTGTGACGTCACACGTATTGTGATTTTATTTATTGCTATTTCCGCATTTCCAAGCACTACGCTTTTGTGAATTCAAAAACTTGACTAACGTTCAACAGTTGTTCAACAGTTGGTGGGGGCAAAAGGAAAAACATTCAAAAATTGTATCGATAAATGTGATTTACTGACGTGTGTGTGATCAGTTCTTACATAACTGAGATGTTAGTTGTAATTTGAAAGTTCGCGTATGTTGTCAGGTGGGTGATGAGCGAATGATTGACGTCCAAGCTCCCCAGTCACGTGCTTCCTGTCCAAGAAGGAAAGCGTGCAATCAAACTGCAAGCCTTCTCTAAGCCACCCCTAACACTGATGCACCTCGTGACTTCACTTCAGGACACCACGCCCTCAGGCCACTTGATTAGGTATACCTGCTGCCAGCACATGCATTGTATGCAAATCCATTTGTTGGTCCATGCATTCATGTACTAGTCAACTCGAGTAAAACCCGTTCAGCACACCCGAAGAACGACATGCAAGTCATGTTTTTTTTTTTTTTTTTTAAACCACTACGTGTGTGATTTTAGGCCTACCTGTATGACTGTTAAGATTAATTATCAATTTTTTAAAAATAAGTCATTCTACTAGTTTGCCCGAGTTGTACTAGCGGAGAGGACAAAGAGCATACTAGTACATGACCTAAAGTGGGACATCCTTGATATCAACTAAAAGCTTTAGCTAGTTGCATGACTTCAGTGTTGTTGCCCCAGCGGCCGCCATGTCTGCGGACACGCCCGCGGCAGATGCGACGCCGTTTATGTCGGACGACAGTGAGGCGGCGTTGACGGAGGAGGAGGAGGAGTGTCGGGATGCGGTCCAGGGGGAGGAGCTTAGCAGCGGCGTATCGCCCTTGCGGGCCGTGCTCACCGTCCTCATCCTGTGCTTTGTCAACCTACTCAACTACATGGACAGGTTCACCATCGCAGGTACCAGTGCACACACGCATGCACACTTACGCGCGTGCGTGCACCAGGCGCACCCTGATGATGTCATACACCCGGCAGGTGTGCTTCCCGACATCGAGCGTTATTTTGGGATCGATGACAGCAAATCTGGCCTGCTCCAGACGGGTGAGAACACGCCATGCACGTCGATGTCAAACATGGCTGCCGCCTTCAGGCACAGACGTGTATATGAATGAATTAATAATGCCGCTTACTGAACAGGATCCTGGCCAAAAAGTGTGTTTTCAGCAAAAAAAAAAAAGAAAAAAAAAGTTGTCAGTGAACAGTAGCAATGCAAGATGGCTGCCCTCTGGCTTCAGCCACGGGCGGCCAATTGATAGTCCGTCATGATGAAGTCCATGCCTACAGCACTCAACTGTATGTCAACAGCACTGCCATGTTGGATGTGGCAGGGTGGGGCCACATCACGTTTAGCAGAAAGCGGGTGACTCATGTTGCCGATGCGCTTTGCCACATCCAATACGGCCACAATGTTGATGTATGAACCGTACACACAAGGCAGCGTTTGTCCACGGTCAGCCTGTGACCTCACTTGGGCCATGTCTGGCCTCCAGTCTTCATCTGCAGTTACATGTTCCTGGCACCGCTCTTCGGTTACCTGGGCGACCGCCACAACCGCAAGATAATCATGAGCGTCGGCATCGCTTTCTGGTCCCTCGTCACACTCGCCAGCTCCTACACGCCCAAGGAGGTCAGCGGCAACCTTCCCTCATCATGGTGTTTGCCCTCTTGATCTTTGGCAACTTCATGTGTCTGCGAGTTGCTCTCTCTGGTGACGGCGAGTCCATTTGTTTTGTTTTCCTCTCAGCACTTCTGGGCCCTGCTGCTGACGCGGGGCCTGGTGGGTGTGGGCGAGGCCAGCTACTCCACCATCGCACCCACCATCATCGCCGACCTCTACGTCAAGGACCGCCGCACCAACATGCTGTCCATCTTCTACTTTGCCATCCCCGTCGGCAGGTAGGCGCGGCGCCAGCACCCCCCGCGTTAGTGAGCGTCCTCATAGCCGCCATCGGTGTCGTCGTCTTCTTGTCTCCGCAGCGGTCTGGGCTACATTGTGGGCTCCCAAGTCAGCAACGTGACCAAGGACTGGCACTGGGCTCTGAGGGTGCGGCCGTGTGCGTTGTTGTCATCGTCGTCCTCGTCGTCATCGTCTGAGCATGCTGGCTCTATCGCAGGTGACGCCGGCGTTGGGTCTGGTGGCCGTGCTGCTCCTGATCCTGGTGGTGAAGGAGCCAAAACGTGGCGCTATAGAAGCTCGGCCCGAACGTCAGCTTCATCAAAGCGGCTGGATCGATGACTTGCGAGCGCTGAGCAGAAAGTAAGACACGCTGGCCACCTGGAGATCCCGCGCTCGACAACTCCTAACCGAACACACGTGCACTCCCCCCCCCCCCCCCCCCCCTCTCTTTTTGTTTTTTTGTGGG